CAGAGGACCAACTCTCTATTATTATTATAAAACAACTTCTCTAGCTTCAGTAAGCATTTTTTTTTTTTTTTTTTTTTTTACCAGAGATTGAACCCAGGGGCACTTAACCACTGAGCCATATCACCAGCCCTTTTATTTTTCATTTTGAGACAGGGTCTCACTAAGTTACTTAGGGCCTCACTAAGTTACTTAGGGCCTTGAGAAGTTGCTGAGGCTGGCCTCAAACCTGCAATCATCCTACCTCAGCATCTGAATCACTGGGATTATAGGCATGTGCCACTGGGCCTAGTTAGAAAGCCTTTTTTTTAAAAAGTATTTTTTAGTTATAGATGGACATAATACCTTTATTTTATTTATTTTTATATGGTGCTGAGGATTGAACCCAGTGCCTCACATGTGCTAGGCAAGCGCTCTACCACTGAGCTACAACCCAAGCCCGTAGTAAGCCATGTTTAACAATTAAAATTTGAGAGGAGGATTTTTTTCCCCTCAGGACACAGGACAGGACTCAGGGCCTTGCATATTCTAGGCAAGTGCTTTGCTATGGAGTTAAATCCCCAACCCCAGGAGAAATTTTAAAAAGTAAGTTGAAAATGTTTTTCTTTTATCTCCCTTAGATACAGCAAAAAGTACATTTTTTTTTTTTTTAAGATGCCAAGTCTCACTATGTTGCTCAGGCTGGCCCTGAAATCCTGGGCTCAAGTGAATCTCCTTCCTCAGTCTCAGCTGGGACTATAGGAGTGTGCCATCACACCCTGTGGAATTTGTTTTAGTATATATATATATATATATATACACACACACACACACACACACACACATACACACATATTTAATCTTTAATTTTTATTTTTTTAAATATTTATTTTTTAGTTGTAGTTGGACACATACCTTTATTTCATTTATTAATTTTTACGTGGTGCTGAGGATGGAACCCAGGACCTCACACATGCTAGGCGAGTGCTCTACCACTGAGCTACAACCCCAGCCCTAGAATATATATTCTTTTAGAATAAATATATTTTAGAATTCTTTTAGAATATATATTAATTTTTTTTTTTTTTTGCTACTGGAGATGGAACCCAGGGTGCTTTACCGCTGAGCTATATCCTCAGTCCTTTTTTTTTTTTTTAATATTTATTTATTTTAGTTCTCGGCGGACACAACATCTTTGTTTGTATGTGGTGCTGAGGATCGAACCCGGGCCGCACACATGCCAAGCGAGCGCGCTACCGCTTGAGCCACATCCCCAGCCCCCTCAGTCCTTTTTATTACATTTTGATACATGGTTTCGTTAAAAGTTGCTGAGGCTGGCCTCCAGTTTGTGATACTCCTGCCTCAACCTCCCAAGTCTCTGAGTCAGTGTGAGCTCTTGCCACAAGATCCCCGCCCCTGTCTCTGGCCTGGAAGCTCTCGCCTCCAGCCACCTTTTTTGAAGAGTCTTCCGCAGGTTAAAACCAGCGGTGAGAGGGGCAGATGGCCTTCTGCGAAGGCAGAGAGGAAGATGACTACGAGAGGCTGCAGGGGACCCAGGGATGAAAGTAGGAGTCAGGTGAGAGCACGGGTCGCGTGGAGTCAGAGACTCCCGGCTTCCTTCCCGCTCTAGATAATAGCTGTTGCTTATTGGGCGCTGTTTGCTGGCGTCTTTTCCAGGGTCATCCTTGGACCCTTCCAGCCATCCAACAGGAGGAGTTACTATTGCCATTCTACTTTGAGAAAACTGAGACCTAAAGTCTGCCTGCCAGTGATGGTAGAGCTGGAATTAGAATTCAGATCTGGCTGCTCTCGATGACTCCGATCCCCACCCATCTGTGAGCGAGGCCAGTACCGGGAACAAATGTGAGGCCGGGACCCACCGAGGGAGGTGAGCAGACCGCGGGGAGGGCGGGCCGACGCCCTAGTTTCTGCAGCGCAGGGGGCTGGACCGCGAGGCTCGGCGCCAGGGGGCCTGCTGAGCGGTCTCTGCCAAGAGGGGGCGCGCGGGACGCCCCAACGGAAGCTCCGGGACGCGATCGCTGTCCAGGACTGAAAGGGTTGACCACTGGCCAAGGGACCCGCCTGGAGGGAGACCCTGCCCGGAGGGAGACCCTGCTCAGGACAGGAGGAGACCTCTCAAGTGCCCCAGGTAGGGGCGGAGGTGGGCCTCTCAGGGTGGGAGAGTGGGAGGGTGGAGGGCGTGGAGACATCCCCCTGCCCAAACCCGGATCCCCAGACTCAGCACCACCTGACCCACCCTGGTGCAGGGCAGGGTCCGTAGCCGGGTAGCTAGGTTAGGGTCCATCTTGGGTTCTGTAAAACATCCCTGTGGCTTTTGGGCCCTGGAAGGGTCGAGTTCTGGCATTGAGGGACTATAGGGTTGTCAAGGAAGGAACTTCTGAGACCCCCTAGTCAGTGGGAACCAGGCCTCAACCCCAGGCCTACCTGGGAGGCGCTTTAAATCTCCCCTTTTCAACGTCCAGAGTATTTGGAAATCACTCAATCCAACTGAGGCCAATGGTGGTTGGTGAGGTGAGTGGGCAGCCATGCAGAATTCTGGTTCCCACTCTGATACTGACTGTGACTCCTCTATCCGTCATTCCCTCTCTCTGGCTCTCTTTTTCTTTTTCAATTAAAATTCCTAGGATCCTAGAGTATGGCCTATATCCATGCATATCTTAGATTGCATGTCCTTGGGGCACAGTTATCCAGTACTTGTACTAAGGGCAGTTTTCTGCAGGGTCCTGGACTAGGGCCTGGGGAGGAGGACAAGGGCTTCATCACTGGACAGCTGCCTGGCTAGGGAGGGAGCACAGTGTAGGTAGTGCCTTGGGTAGCTCCAGGCTGGGGAGCAAAGCACTGTGCCATGTGACATGTTGATGTGTCTCTCCCCCAGTAGCTTCCAAGAGCCACTGAGTCCTGTGTGTTTTCATCCCTGAGCCCCACCATTGGCCCAAGCTGGACAAGGAGCAACCAGTAAGTGCATAGTTGGTTTTTGTTAATGGAACAGAGGATGGCTGTTGCCTGGGAGGGCTGCGTGGAGTGGACCAAGTGGCACTCTTCAGGGGAAGTGGAATCTGAAGGGCTCCGGAGAGCAGAGAGGGCACCCTGGGAAGGAACCCAGGCAAGGAGGCTGCGGTGCTCCCGAATGACTGGTGTTCCCCATCAGGGTGGGGACAGGAAGGATGGGTGCTCAGAAATTTTATGAAAGGAACATAGTGTGTGAGGCAGGGTGATAAGATGGAAGCATCGTGGGCTGGGGATGTGGCTCAAGCGGTAGCGTGCTCACCTGGCGTGCGTGCGGCCCGGGTTTGATCCTCAGCACCACATACAAACAAAGATGTTGTGTCCGTTGAAAACTAAAAAATAAATATTAAAATTCTCTCTCTCTCTCTCTCTAAAAAAAAAAAAAGATGGAAGCATCGTGGGGGGAGGAGAAAGCAGTATAACCTCAAGGCTGGAGCTGGGATGAGGGAGGGAATGTTGGAAATAAAGAAAGACAGAGGTCACTTCTAGACAGGTTGAGGTTGGAGGGTGGATAGCTGTCAATGAGATACCCAGTGTACACCGTCCCATGCAGTGGCTGTGACTCCTTCCTGTTGAGTTTTAGAGCTAGAAGGGCTTGGCCCTGAAATTGACATGACTCATCAGTGTGGCCTGGAGAGTGGAAGATCAAAAGGGGAGACTTAGAGAGAGGGGAGAGTACAATTCTTCAGGTGAAAAGAGGAACTGGTGATTGACAGAAAGAAGGAGAAAGTACATTCAAACATTTCCAGGTCACCTTGACAGCACTGAGGAGGAATACCTGTTTATGCATTAGTATTGGTCAGCATGTTTGGGTGTGGGGATGCAGGAGGGACCCACACCTCTACCCTCTATCATCAGGCTTGTTGGGCTACAGTGATCAGCAGCTCTCAAAGACACCCGTCCCCTTGGCTGAAGCAAAAGAGTCTGCATCTGGACTGTGAAGGGGTCTCAGGGCTGGCACTGGGCATGAGCCTGCACACCCTGCACAGGGTACAGGGACCCAGGGAGGTTTGAATTTTAGATGTCTGCCCTCCACCCTGCCCTTGCCCCTGAGCACATCTTTAACTGAGCACTTGAGCACAAAGCACTGAGTTTGGCACTTTGCTATGTATTGCTTCATTTGGTCCTCCCACTGGTCTCGTTGGGCCCGTGATATATATATATATATATATATATATATATATATATATATATATATATAATGTCTATATACACATTATGCATACATCTATGTAGTATACACACACACACACACACACACCACACACACACACACACACACATTTTTGCTTTTTCCCCAAATGAGGAAGCCAGGGCATAGGGAGTTTGAGTTTGAGCAAGTTCCCAGGATGACACAGTTAGGGACAGGGGAGGCTGTGGCAACAGTCAAGGGCTCCTGATCAAGACTTGCCCAGTATGGCCTAGCTGCTCTTTTAGAAGAAAATGTACTGACTGATGATAGCAAAAGAGAAATTATTTTGGGATGAGAGACTCCATGGAAGAGGGCTCCTTGGATGAGGGCCTTGACTTCCAGGATTAGAGGGAACCTGGGACTTCAGGAGGCTCTCTGTGAACACTGAAATTATGAGTAAATCTTTTTTTAGTAAATCTGCTCATTTTTCAGCAGAGGCCTCCTCCTGGCCCAATGGACCCCATCCCCAGTTTCCTGTGGTCAGAAGGCTTGTCATTGAGCAAGGGCACTTGGGGTTCTGGCCTCACGGCCTCCCCCAGGCCCTCATTCTGCAATCTAAAGAAAAACAGCTGACACAAAAGAGGCTGATGGAGGTGTGTTTTGTTGGCAGTGGCATGGGGGTTAACAGAATTGAAAAATTGAAACTGTAGAGGTGAATGACCTTGGGAAGGGCTGGGCTGATCTCCTCATTATGCCTGAGGAGGAAATTGGGGCTCCCACCATGCCCAAGGCCACCCAGTGAATTAGTGCAGACAACATTTCCTGCATGTTTTAGGTCAACCTCAGAGGCCTGGAGGCTGTAAAGTTAAGCAAGACAAAGAAATCCCCATGGACAAGCCTCACCTATGTGCCATGCGCAGTGCCTGCATTTCCACGGTCATCATTTCCTTCACCCTGAGCCACGGGAGGATGTGGAGAAGTCCCACCTCTGCCATCACTTTTCCCTTGCACAGGTGATGCTGACTTTAGAGGACAAGAACATGAAGGGACTCACCTGGGCCATAGTCCTGGTCTTGACCTCCCTGGGCTACCTGCTCATACTGCTGGTCTCCATCTTTCCCTTCTGGGTGCGGCTCATGGACGAGGAGACCCAGGATGTGTTTTTCAGTGGCCTGTTTGAGAACTGCTTCCATATCAAATGCTGGAAGCCTCGACCCTTATCCAGTAAGGAGGGTTGGGGGTAAGGATGAAGAAAGGGGAGATGGGACCAGTTTGATGGCTGGGTGGAGATAGATAGGGCAGGTTGGGGGCAGAGGACCAAATTTAATAAGGCCATAAGGGCATTTTCTCTGAATCTTCACTCTTTTGGGGTGAGAGGAATGTAGGGCACTGTGAAAGGGTGATCATGTCATGTTGACCACTGAAGTAGGGGCATATGTGTTAGGAACCAAGTTTATTTCCAAGCCATGATTCTACTTTCCTAGCCCCTTTAAGGAAAAATCTGAAGGCCCCAAGGATGTCTGTCTTGGAAAAGACGTGACCCAGGGAAACCCAGGGACTACTTTCTTGGGAATAGGAGAGGCCTCCTTAGGGGAAGATGACCTGACTATGTGAGCTCTTTGACCCAACGTTCCTCAATCTTGGTGCTACTGATATTTTGGGATGGGTAATCTTTGAATGGGGGCTCTCCTGTTTCTTGCAGGATGGGAAATAGAACCCCTGCCCTCTTCTACCCATGAGATGCCTGTAGTACCACTCCCCACTTAGTTTGACAACCCAAATTGTCTCCAGGTATTGTCAAATACTTAAGGGACAAGTAAAGGAGGACCATCACTGATTTAACCCAAGGGTAGATTCTGGAATGTCTGGGTGTTCAGAAACACCTTTGCCTTTTGTCCTCCTCCAAGATGTCCATCTCTGTTTGCTCAGAAGGGCATTCAAACTAAATTTCGCATGGTGGAAATCATCAGCGGGAGAGCAAATCACCCCGTATCCAGACTCTATTATTTTTGGTCTATTTCACTTCTCCTATTAAGAGGAAAATTAAATAAGGCTTAGGGGATTCACTGTGAAGTTGAACATTTCGACCTCATGGAGTTCTGATTTTCCACTGGTAGTTATTTTAGCATAACCAACATAGATGTGAGTTTTCACGATTGCACACACAACCAATTCTTATCAGGAGAGTTTGCTTTTATGTGTTTTATGAAAACCATTGTTTTTCCCAAATGGAAGATGATTTCCTCATACATCATCATATATGTTAAGAACTGATGAATGACTTTTGTGTCTGACATTGTCAATCTAATTTTCTCCCCATATGCTTCCATGTTTTTGGGAAAAAAAAATGGTGAGGCTGGAGCATTCTTGGGGGGCAAAGTGGCAGGGTCACAGCTTTGGTCCCAGGTTGTGATCTGAGGGTGGTGGAGGCTCTGGGGCCCCCTGTGCCAGTCTCTGAGGGTCTCTTGCCTTTTGGAGGGCAGGGTCTCCAGCTCCAGCCCTGGCTCTTCCTCTCCTGCAGTCTACATCCTCCTGGGCCGGTTCTTCCTGATCTCTGCAGTTATCTTGGCTTTCCTCACCATCTTCCTCACGGTGTCCTCTGCGTCTGAACTCTTCCCAAGGACTTGGAAGCACAATGTTGTGTCAGCCACTGTCAGCTTCCTCACAGGTGTGCAACAGCCAGGCAGTCCCTGACCTCTGAGGGCCCTTGAAGGGATGCAAAGGGAGTGGGTGGGTGGTTTCTGTGATATGAAGAGACATGTGATTTTTAAGGTTCCTCCTCTATGAATTAATTGACCCCCACACCTGACCTATTAGAATTTATGATGCCTCTTCCTTGGGGCTTCTTAACACTCTACATTTTCCTGTATGACCCTGTTGCGGGGTCATATGTCTGGTAGGTCACCTGGATAGCCAGGGACTGTCATAGAATCTGGCAAAGAATTGTAATTGAGCTGGGTGCAGTGGCACTTGCCTGTAATCCCAGCATGTCAGGAGGCTGAGGCAGGAGGATCGTGAGTTCAAAGCCAGCCTCAGCAACTTGGTGAGGCACTAAGCTACTCAGTGAGACCTTGTCTCTAAATAGAATACAAAATAAGGCTGGGGATGTGGCTCAATGGTTGAGTGCCCCTGAGTTAAATTCCTGGTACACACACACACACACAAAAAAAAAAAAAAAAAAAAAAAGAAAGAAAGAAAGAAAGAAAAATAATTGTAATTGAAATATATAAGTGAACTATCAATGTTTCTTGAATGAATGAATGGAAGAGACCTTCTTTGCCCTTTTGAACCTTTTGACATTTGAAAAGAGTGACCAGGCCCCACGCTGGGAAGCTCCCAGGACTATGGAGAAGTAGAATACATGCAGGGGGTGGGGAATCTGGTTGAGTTTCATCCAAAGTGTTTTACCTAGAGGGCCCAGCCTGAACTGAACCAAGGGCATATACACCAGGGGTCCCCAGAAAGGGGTTTCTGTTGGCGGGGCCCCTGGGTGGTGAGGCACATGTCTTTGAGATGAGCTGGGAATGATTGATAGTGTGCTGAGCGGGTGGTTGTTGGCTCAGAGTGGGCAAGGGGGTAGATAGGAAGGAGCCACTAAGCAGGAGCCACATGGGCTCTGTCTGATTGAGTGTGAGGAAGGTTGGGTGAAGACAGGTAGCCCAGGAAGAGAGCAATCATGCCTCCCATGATCCTACAGGGATCTGTGCCTTCCTGGCCATGTTGCTGCATGCCCTGGAGATCCGGGATCTGAGGATGAAGCCCAGTCCACCACAGTTCTCCATGCAGTGGCCTTACTACATCCTGGGCTTTGACATCCTTCTGTTCCTGGTGGCTGGTGAGTGTCCTGTGGCTGTTACCCACTCCTTGCCCTCTTGTCTGCAGTTAGGAGCTTCTCTGGAGGAGCTGCACTGTTCCAAACTATAGCCACTAGCTTCAAATAGCTATTTAACTTTAATTAAAATAAAATACAGTTAAAAATTCACTTCCTCAGCCATACTAGCCCCATTTCAGATTTTCAACAACCACACATATCTGGTGGCTACCACATTGGACAGTGTAGTGTGATTTCCATCTCTGCAGAAAGTTCTGCTGGACAGCACGACCTCAAACCTATCCCCAAACTTGGCCTTCTGGTTCTTACCCTTCTTGGTACTAGAAAGAAAACTTCCACATGTCTGTGCTGTCCCTTACACCATCCTGATTTCTAAGGCTCTCTATTCCTGTCCATCTTTATCTTGAAATCTATCAATCTTGTTCCTCACTTTAACCTATTATCTTGAAACATTATCATCACCTTCTAGATTCTTAATCCTGTCTGATTTTGTCCCTACTCCTAATCCTTCCTCTGCTATGTTAACCTGACCCACGATCATGTTCTATTTCAAATTTAAAATATACCAAAAATATATAAAGGAATATTATTTATAGCCAGCCATGGTGGTATACACCTATAATCCCAGCAACTTGGGAGCCTGGGCAGGAGGAATACAAGTACAGGACTGCAGCAAAATAAAAAAAATAAAAAGGGTGGGAGATGTAGTGGAGCATTCCTGTGTTCAATCCCGTGTATAACACACACACACACACACACACACACACATTTATGAGATATCCGTAAGATACAAGTAATTAAAAATAGAGACACCCAGTTCCCACCATAGATAAGAACTAGCCATATTTCAGTGACTCTGTTGTTCATAAGTTAAACCATTATTTTATGTACCAATGAGAAAGAGAAACTGGTGTAATTCTGAGATTCTTTAACTTGTAAAACATTCTCATTTCAGAGATGTTAAAATAAGAAAAAAATGAATTTGGAATTGGCTTCTCAAAATTAATGAAATGCGGTGGAACAGTCAGTATCTTTGAAGGTCTCTCCCCCTAGCTCTTCTTGACATCATCATCTTCTCTCCATTCCAGAACCAGTGATTCTGAGATTTATGCTAATCACATTTCCTACTCACTTGTATCCTTAACGAGCATATTGTTTAGTTTTCCATGTTTTAAAACGTTATATAAATACATTTTACTGTGTTTATTTTTCTGGAACTTATTATGTTTGATCAATATTATACCCCTTAGAATCCTCTATGTTAATTAAGAGTAACTGAGATTCATTAATTTTTATTACCTTAAATATTGTATAAATATTCTACAATTTGCCCATTTTCTTTCAATGGACATTGAGGGTTTCCAGTTTTGTTTCCTACTGTCACTGACTGACCTTTGAACTTTTTGTACTTATGCCCTATTGCATTTGTGCTGGATGCTCTTGAGGACATATGCCTAGGACTGAAATTCTTGTATTGAGATGATGCATATTTTCAGGTTTTCCAGATGATGCCAAATAGATTTCCCTAGAGATGATAACAATTTGCATTCTTACAGGCAGGACAAGAGAATTCCTGTTGCCCCATCTCCTTGTCAATATTTGAAATTATCAGGTTTTTTTAAACCTTTGCCAGTTTAATTGGTGTAAACTATTATGTTATTAATGTGTGTTTCCTTGATTATTAATCACGTTGAACATCTTTGAATAGCTTTATTGACCATTTTTCCTTTTCAAATTGATTTGTCAGAGGTGTTTATATATTTTATTTATTTATTTTTAATTTTTTTTTGTAGTTGTAGACAGACAGCATGTCTTTATTTTATTTGTTTATTTTTATGTGGTGCTGAGGATCGAACTCAGTGCCTCACATGTGCTAGGCAAGTGCTCTATCATGAACTACATCCCCAGCCCCAGCCATTTTTATATTTTAAATATTAATCTATTATTATTGTTATTGGTACCAGAGATTGAACCCAGGGGAGCTTAACCACTGAGCCACACCCCAGCCCCTCTTTTAAAAAATATGTTTTATATATTTTATTTAGAGACAGGGTCTTGCTAACTTGCTTAGGGCCTCACTAAGTTGCTAAGGCTGGCTTTGAACTTTCGATCCTCCTTCCTCAGCCTCCAGAGCTGCTGAGATTACAGGCCTGTGCCACTACACCCAGCTGGTACTTTTGCCATCTTTATTTAAGTCTTCAATCCATCTTGAATTGACTTATGGTGTGAAGTCGGGCTGCTTTCATTTTTCAAATGAACAGTCGGTTGCCATAGTACTATGTGTCGACTACTCTGTCCTTTAGCTCTGACCTGCGGTGCCATTTTTGTTAGTAATCCAGTTCTCGTGTTCCACTCATCTATCTATCTTGGTGGACAAACCACGCTTTCACTGTTGCTCTAACTTTATACTATTCCTGACATTGTATATCTTGATATCTTGTCGGAAAAACCCTTGCACTTGTTTTCCAAATGTATTTGGTGTTTCTTGGCATTGTTTCCTTACATAGAAATTCAATAATCAGCTTGTGACATTTCACAAAAAATATGATATTTTCTTTGAATTATACTGAATGGTCAATTTAGGGAGCATTGATTTTTTTAACTCTTTTCAATAGTATTGAATCATCCTACCATAAACATGATATTTTCTTCCTATTTCCTTGGGTGTTCTTTAGTGAGTTTTGAAAAATCTCATAATTTTTCTTTTTGTTTGTATTTTACCCCTTAGATATTTGTGCTTCCAGTATGATGATAATAGAAGTGGCAATAATTAAGGGGATTTTTTTTGGGGGGGTAACAGGGATTGAACTTAGGGGTACTCAACCACTGAGCCACATCCCCAGCCCTATTTTGTATTTTATTTAGAGACAGGGTCTCACTGAGTTTCTCAGTGCCTCGCTGTTGCTGAGGCTGGCTTTGAACTCTGTCCTCCTGCCTCAGGCTCCAGGGCTGCTGGGATTACAGGTGTGTGCCACTGTGCCTGGCTAATATTTGCTCTTATTTTGAATTCTCCTCCCTCCTACTGTCATTGTGTCTATTCTGCTATTCTTTTTTCCAACTTATTTTTTTTCCCCTGGACTCAATTTACTCACAGCATCCAGGCATTGGTCAAAACTAATTTAATATATGCAAAGTCCTGAGAAGGGTGTGTTTTGTCAACTTTTTCACTACTACAATCTTTTTTCCCAACTTCTTAAAATCAGGTCTATGTTCATTGATTATTTCTTCTTTTTCTATTTAGGTAGCTAAGGCTTTAATTTCTCTCTAAAAATTACTTTTGTCTACATCTCCCATTCTGATGTGTAATATTTCAGTTATTGTTCTATTTGAAATATTTTCTAGTTCCCCCTTTTTTTGGAGGGGGGGCAGGGGTACCAAGGATTAAACTCAGGGGCATTTGACCACTGAGCCATTTCTCCAGCCCTATTTTGTATTTTATTTAGAGACAGGGTCTCACTGAGTTGTTTAGTGCTTTGCTGTTGCCGAGGCTAGTTTTGAACTCACAATCCAGAGCTGGGGATATAGCTCAGTTGGTAGAGTGCTTGCCTCCTGTACACAAAGCCCTGGGTTCAATCCCTAGCACTGCAAAAAAGAAAAAAAATTATATATATATATATATATATATATATATATATATATATATATATATATATTGACCTCGCTATCCTCCTGTCTCAACCTCCCTAGCCACTCTGATTACAGACCTGTGCCACCATGCTTAGCTATATTTTCTAGTTCCCTTTATGATATATTCTTTTTAAAAATATTTTTTTAGTTGTTGATAGATTTTTATTTTATTTATTAATATGTGGTGCTGAGAATAGAACCCAGTGCCTCACACATGCCAGGCAAGTGCGCTACTGCTGAGCCACAGCCTAGCCCATGATATATTCTTTGATTCATGATCATTTTATATTTTCTAAATATAAAAAATTTGCATCTTTGTGTTGGCTATTCTTTTTTTAAAATTAGAGCTTGAGGGCTGGGGATGTGGCTCAAGCCGTAGCACGCTCGCCTGGCATGCCTGCGGCCCGGGTTCGATCCTCAGCACCACATACAAACAAAGATGTTGTGTCTGCCGAAAACTAAAAAGTAAATGTTAAAAAAAATTAGAGCTTGATAGTTATGCATAGTAGTTGGGTTCATCCTGACAAAATTATACACGTGTGGAATTAGATTTCAGTTCAAGAGCCCCCCCTTTCTGTCACCCTCCCATCCCATCTCTTCCTCCACTCTGCTAGACTTTCTTTTGCTCGTCTATTTATTTATATTTGATTGGTTCTCCTTACTTATACACAAAGGTGAAATTCCCTGGGGTATATTTATATATGCACATGACATGATTTTTAAAGGATTCGTTCTGCATTGCTTTCCCATTCTCATCCCCCCCCACCGCTCTCCCTGTTGATCTCGAAGCTTCTTCTACACCACTGATCTGCCCTGTATGTTTATGGTATCCTTTCCTTCCCTCCAGTTTACTCTAGCTTCTGTATATGAGAGAAAATATTTGGCCTTTGAGTTTCCAAGTCTCACTTATTTCCCGTGGCGTTATGCTCTCCATTCCCACACATTTACCAGCAAATGCCACACTTTCATGTGTTGGTTATTCTTAATTCCAGTTTGGTGAAACAACATGAACTGTGTAATCCTGTACCTTTAAATTTTTGAAACTTGTTTTATAGCCTATTTTGAGGTCCCTTTCCACAAATGTTAAATGTAAGCTTTTGCTGGGCATGGTTGTGCATGCCTGTGATTTCAGCAACTTGGGAGGCTGAGGCAGGAGGGTCACAAATTGGAGGCCAGCCTCAGTAACTTAGTGAAGCCCTAACCAACTTAGTGATAGCAAGACCCTGTCTCAAAATGAAAAATAACAAGGGCAGGGGAGGTGGGTCAGAGATAAAGCACCTCTGGTTCAATTTTCCCATAAATCTTGTCATTTTATACCCTCTTTTTCCTTACGTATATAAATATGTTATAAACATGTTACATTTTGTAAATGTATTTTTATTAGAAATGTAAAACATACCTATTTTACATTCTGTGTCTCATAAATTTACTAACTGAATTCATTTGCAGGACTTTTCTACCATGTCTGCAGGCTCTTGTGGTGGTGTCTGGTTTCCAGGTGTCTGTGTCTGTGTGTATGTGAGTTTCTTCCCACTGTGAAGTCATTTCCCTTGGAATTTTACCAGTGGAGTCTTTGAGACCTGAATTTAAAGTGTTTCCTCCCCAAGGATCTATAGTTGCTTCTGCCTGGTGCAGAATGGAAACTCGGGGTCACCTAAGTTGAGTGTGTATCTCCAAGATGCAGCTGAATGTGTGCTAAACTATCTTTTACTTTGGTTTTGGCTTCTAAGAATACCTTACATTGGTGCCAGCTTGGTGGTTAATTTTAAAAAAATATTTTTTAATTGTAATTGGACACAATGCCTTTATTTATTTATTTTTATGCGATGCTGAGGGTCGAATCGAGGGCCTTGCATGTGCTAAGCGAGCGCTCTACCACCTAGCCACAACCCCAGCACTAAAAATAATTTTTTAAAGTAATAATTTATTCAGAATTTTTTGCTGTTTTAAATGGGAGCGTATCAGGTCTGCTTTAATGCTGAAAATAAAATGTCTGTTATCTTTGTCTTAATAATACATCATTCATTACTTGCTTAAGAGATCTCCATTCCTCCTCTTCCTCCACCCCCTTCTCCCGATCTTCTCCCCTCTCTTTTTCCTCCCCCTTCTTCCCTGCTCCGCCTTCTTCTCCCCTCCCCGCTCCCCATCCCCCAGCCAGGGCTTCATGCATGCTAGGGAAGCCCTCTTCCACCGAGCTAAACCCCAACCCCTCCATTTGTTCTTATGGACATGGATTGTCCTTTTTCTCTCTTACTTTCCTGAGGGTCTTGAGTTAGGCAACAAGAGCCTGGGTTTTCTGTTGGGTCTTCCTCCCTCTAAAGCTTCTTTGCTCACATTTTATTGGTAGACAATTGCTGTGATGCCGTTCAGTCCTGGCCATGGTCCTGTGATTTTTATCCACCATTTTTTTTTTTTTTTTTGGCGGTGGGTACCCAGGATTGAACTCAGGGGCACTTGGCCACTGAGCCCCATCCCTAGCCCTATTTTTGTATTTTATTTAGAGACAGAGTCTCACTGAGTTGCTAAGTACCTCGCTTTTTGCTGAGGCTGGCTTGAACTCACGATCTTCCTGCCTCGGCCTCCTGAGCTGCTGGGATTACAGGAGTGTGCCACCATGCCTGGCTGTGTTCCTTGTTGTACGACATGTTCTGTTTCCCCTTCTATCTCTGTAATGCTCTGTTGGAGAGAAGGACTATGGAGGGTAGATCCAGAACCAGAGTGGCTCACAATTAGAGGAGGGAGCCCCTGACTGCCGGGTTTCTGTTCTTTCGACTAAAAGGCTCAGGGGTGGGTCACTCCAGTTAAACTGGGCTAACTGGGCTGCACGAAATAACCACACAAGAGACACAAATACCTTTTTCTTTGGGGTTGCTGTGAGGGCTCCTCTGTCCGCAGAAAGAGAGAGAGAGAGAGAGAGAGAGAGAGAGAGAGAGCGCGCGACTGCGCTGACCCCTTTTATTGAGGAGAAGCTATTCAAATAAGGCAAGGGGTCAGGTTTCAGGGGCTGAGTCTATCTTCATGATGTCCACTGTCAGCAGGTTGACTGACACCTGGGTAGGCCACACCCAAGGGCACAGTAAGAGGAGGGGACACACACAAGGCACTTTCATGGAAGATTCTATCCTAAACAGGGCAAGGGGTTATATTACAAAGGAACAGGTGAGCGTAGCTTCACCCATGGGGCTGTAGCAAGACACACCCATTTCTGTGACCGAGCGCCTCAGCACCCAGCTGGGGAGTGTAACTCAGTCACCCATAAGGTTGGCCTCCCACACCTGACCTCTGATCTACAGCACAGAGCCTGACATACTCTCTCTGATCTCACGTTTTTTGCTGTTACCTAGGTGCCATTTGCCTTTCTCAAGGAAAAATCTGCCTTAGATGTCGCTTGTTGCCCATTTACCAGAGCACTGAAGATGTCCAGGGGACCCTACACTTGGAAAAGCTGGAAAGCTTGGGAGGAAAACTGAGCTGGGTACAAAAGGAGACCCAGCTGAGGGAAGCAACAGTTATCTAGCCCAGGACATTGTCTCTGCCCTTCCTGAAGCTGTGTGGCGACGCTTGCAGGTGTGTGCGGCAACTCCTTCTCTGCCAGTCTCTGCTGCCTTGAGGAGCTGTAGCATCAAGCCAACCTTCCACGCCCTGGCACGCACAGACAGTCCATCTTGCTGATGTTTAAAATTTGTTAAAAGTTATTTGAAAAAAAAAGTTCTTTGAACTCTTCTGAGATTCTTGAGAGATTATTATTACTTTTTTTGAAGGTATATTAAAGAAATAAAAGGGTAATTTTTATTGATCCATACCTCAAAAACCAAGCCTGGAGTCCAGGAGGGGAAGAATTTGACAAGATGAGCAAGTGAAGTAGGGTTTTAGAGAACAAAAATCTCACAGAATATAACCGCAATAGAAGGTGTTTGAGTTAATAATAAAAAAAAATGACATCTCGGGGCTGGGCCTGGGCTCAGTGGCAGAGTGCTTGCTTGCCTGGCATGTGTGAGGCACTGGATTCCATCCTCAGCACCACGTAAAAATAAACAAATACAATAAAGGCATTGTGTCCATCTGCAACATATATATATATATATATGTGTGTGTGTGTGTGTGTGTCTGTACACACATACACACACATACACACACACACACAAACTGACATCCCCAGATAAAACTGTGACAGTGCAGAAAACTTTTCTTGAGTATATGTTTATGGGAAGGGTTGAGTCTGGTTGAAGGTGAAATCTTCCCCAAGATTGAGCTCCTGAGACTGGATGCCGGAGCTCAGGAAAGTGAGCCCCCAGCATATGGACACTTACTTCCTCTCTCCTTCATCGAGCCAGATGGGGCCCTAACTATAGCCAGTCATCTTATCTCTCTCATATTGACATGAATTTGAGAGACATTCTTCAAGTATATCTCATTTGCTGAATAACGGGGCTTTTCTGAGTGCCAGTCTCTCTGATTCCAGTGTCTTTCATCATTTCTACATCTTGGGAAAATCCTGTTCATCTCGACAATCCCAGCTGAAATGTCACTCATTTTGCAACACCTGATAGAACTTTCCTGTCAAAACAGGATTAAATGCTTCTTTATTTCTCTTGCCAGATGATTTGGTATGCATTTCTTCCAAAGTGCTTTTATTATAGATAAAACACTAAAATTAGAAAGTTAAAAATAAACAGTCATGCTTCCTCCTCTAGGTATCATGGAATAATTTGGAATAGACTAATGCTGCTGTCTAATAATGAGAAAATAGGGCCTCACATGCCTGTAATTTCAGCAGCTCCAGAGCCTCAGCAAAAGCAAGGTGCTAAGCAACTCAGTGAGACCCTGTCTCTAAATAAAAAACACTAAATAGGGCTGGGGATGTGGCTCAGTGCCCCTGAGTTCAATACCCAGTATTAAAAAAAGGAAAGAGTATATTGATAAAATATAAATATTATTCTAAATTTAGGATACAAAAACATTAAGAAAAAAGCAAGTAATTGGGCTACATTAAGGACTTGATTATGGCTCATTAAAATTTAGAACTTTCTTTTCAGCAAAAGGCGACCTTAAGAGAGTGAAAAGGTAAGCCATAAAGTGGCAGAAGATATTAGCAATACATATATCTGACAATGGACCCTCTGTCAAATGACAAAAGGAAGGAATACCTCAGTAAGGAAAAGATACAACTGAATAAAAAAACGGACAAAAGAATGAATATAGAGAATAAACATATAAGAATGATTAATTCCATTGGTCATAGGGAAACCCAAATTAAAAACTACCACATCATAATACTACACACACATCAAAATCATTAATAATAAAAAAAAAAGACCCAGGCACGGTGTTGCTCACCTGTAATTCCAGCTGCTAAGGAGGCTGAGGCAGGAGGATCACAAATTGAAGGCCAGTCTCAGCAATTTAGCAAGACCCTCTCACAAAACAAAGAAAATAAAAGAGTTGGGGATGTAGCTCTGTGGTAGAGTCCCTCTGGGTTCAATCCCTAGTACCGTTAGAAAAAAAGAAAAAGAAGAATCATCTAAGAGAACAAAACACATATTGATATCGGCCCAAATGCGGAACAACAGTAATTTATATACATGGCAGGTGAAAATACAGCAGTACAATGTACATATATACCATACAGCTCAGCAACCCTCCTTGGTGATCACTCAGTAAAACTGTGAACATGTGCTCACCCAAACACATATTTATAGCGTCACCATTCCCCAAAGCCCCAGACTGGAAGTAACCCAAACTCAATAGTAGAATGGAGTAGTATATTTTGATATATAAGACATTGTACAGTAGTTAGAGTCAAAGGATAAGTTTGGATATTTGGCATCAACCACAGACTGAGAACAACAATGAACCACAAGTCATTTTCTTCTTTTAAATTTTTTTTGAGAGAGAGAGAGAGAGAGAGAGAGAGAGAGAATTTTTTTAATATTTATTTTTAGTTTTCGGCGGACACAACATCTTTCTTTGTATGTGGTGCCGAGGATCGAACCCGGGTGGCACGCATGCCAGGCGAGCGTGCTACCGCTTGAGCCACATCCCCAGCCCTTAATTTTTTTTTAATATTTAGTTTTTACTTATAGGTGGACACATATCTTTATTTTTATTATTTTTTTTTAATATGGTGCTGAGGATTGAACCCAGGGCCTCGCGCATGCTAGGCGAGAGCTCTACCTCTGAGCCACAATCCCAGCCCCTTCTTTTTTTTAAATAACTTTATTTTTTTATTTATTGATGTGGTGCTGAGGATTGAACCCAGGGCCTCACATGTGCTAGGCAAGTGTTCTACCACTGAGCCCCAGCCCCAGCCCCATCCCACAAGTGGTTTTCAAATGAAAGAATAACCAATAATCATGGAGGCCTAATTGAGTGACTCCATTGTATATGTAGCCAGAATTCCCAAAGAGAGTAGGCAAGAGGATAGGCGGAGTGCCAAGGAGACAGTGCCAAAGACACCTTGGCTGCAATAACAGGATTAAAAAGGAAGAGAAATCTCAAAAGAAAGTAGGGAGAAAATGCAGATTGCCTATAAAAGAACGATAATTTGAAAGTTTCTTATCAGTGATGATAGTTAAAATAGAGTAATAGCTTTAAGGTGCCGAGGAAAAATTACAGAAAGCATAGAAGTCTATATTGAGTTGAGGGCAAAAATACAGTTACAGAATAAAAGAAAGACAAAGATCAACAGAACTTATTAACCACAGACTCAATAAAATACTAAAGTATGTCTGTAAGAAGGGACATAATAAGGAAAGCAGAAGGAGAAATGGGGCTGTGAGACAGAAATATGAGCATAATAACTCTCCGGGATTCATAAATTATGACATAGTTATAAATTTGTGTTCAAAAAGGTAAAGCAAAACCTCGACAAATGAGATGGTTAGTTTAAGATATTAAATGAACCCTTTCCATTAGGACTTGTGTTTTGACTGAGAATCCCAATAACAGTGACTTAACCAAATGTAGCTTTGCTTCCTCACCTGAGAACTTTGGAATCTTCTTGCTCTTTCTGTGATGGTCAGGAGATAGTGTCAGCTCCAACCACTATGGTCATGTTCTAGCCAGGAGGATGGGGAAGAAAGGGAAAGTTGGAAAGATCACAGCTAGATGAATCAGCACTGTCTCACCCTCTCTCTCTCTCTCTCTTTTTTTTTTTTTTTTTTGTATTCCTGCTTAAAAACATTTAACAGCTGCATTGAGGTACAACTGACATATAATAAAATGCACAGTAAAGCACACAATTTGATGCATTTTGACTGACATCACTGCGGTGAAGAGAATAAACAGATCCATCATCTTAGGAGATTTCTTGAGTACATTTTTGTCAATGAAAATTCACTAAGAAAGAATTTAAGACCAAAAAAAAAAAAAGGAGAGACTTCATTTCTACAAGCAGTTTGTAATTGGCACAAGAGGGATGTAAGCGTGTGGCTAGAAGTGCCCAGTCCTGATTGGTCAATACTTAAATGTGTCTGTCAGCAGGTCACACCTCATTGGTCAGATCTGGATAGTGAAAGGGACTTTCTGGGGACTGGTGTACCTTGGCTGTTGAAAGAGGATCATGCCTGGGCAAGGGTTGCGAAGCTCAGTTTGTGGTTCTTCCAGGAACACAGAGTAATGTGTGACCCTAGTCACTAAAAGACTCCCAGTCTCCATTTTGAATTTAGGTCCAATTAATTACTTGATTCTTTTCTTGGAGATTCCGCTTTTCTTAAAGTCCACAATTTGTATCTCTGCCTTCCTTTTATGCTGCGTATCTCCATCCCATTTCTGATTTGCTTTCTGTTACCATACGATACATTTCTTAGAATTTTATATCAATAGAATTCAGCATAATTTTTCAGGCTCATCCATGATGTGGCATGAATTAATAGTTCATTTCTTTTTATTGCATGGATATATACCACTTAGTTTATCCACTCACCCATTGATGGACATGTGGAATTCACAAGGACAAACTGCAACCTACATCCATCTCTCTCCTCCAATATCAATGTCATGGGTAACTTGTTGAAGAAACTGGTGCTCTTTGCCACACCTGGCTGCACCTGGCCCAGGTTCAGTGAAGCTAAAGTATGATGAAAGCTTTAGGATCTTTGAGCCAGCTGTTGTCTACATGTGACTGGACTTCCTCATAGTTTCATTTCTGCCCTTGTTACCACCTTGGAAGTACTCTGGCAAAGGATACCAAGAGCCCTCATGGCTAAGGCCAAAGGGCAATGCTCAGTTTAAAAAAATTTGTTTTTTTTTTAGTTGTAGATGGACACCATACCACTATATATATATATATATATATATATATATATATTGTAGATGAACACAATACATTTATTTATTCTTATGTGGTGCTGAGGATCAAACCCAGTGCCTCACATGTGCCAAGCAAGCGCTCTACCACTGAGCCACAACCCCAGCCCCCAATGCTCAGTTTTGACCTGGAACTTGTTTAAAAAAAAACATCTGAGCTGTGTTAAATTTAACAAAGTCCTTTTGAGCAAGAAAAAGGTTCTAGAATCAGGCAGCTAGTTTCAAATGCCCTGTCCCACTACTCCAGGAGGTTATGTAAGTCAGAGAAAAGAAAGTTTCATACAGGAACATCTGATTGGCATAATTTGCCTTATATGGGCATAGTGCAATGAGACACTTGCCTTCTGTGGACACAGCCTGTCATTAGCTGAGACTCATTATCTGTTACAAGAATATACTCAATTTTGTTTGTAGCTTTTTACATACTGTGTTAGCCAGATTTGGGCCAAATTTTATCACCCAAGCAGAAACAGACTGATCAGTTTAACATCCTTCACACACTCCTCTCCCAAATTCTGAGCCATTTCAGGCCAGCCAACTCCATCTACTCTTCAAACACATATGCTCTGAGCAGAATGACCTTGGGTGACTCCTTCACTAACCTGATATTAGCTCCCACCTGTGCATTAATGACTTCCCCATCTGCCTCTCCAGCCCAAACTCTTCTCAGAGTTTCCCAGAAGGAGACCTTTGCGTAATAATCTGGAAGCACTTCAAACTCAACATATCCTAAATTGAACCTATTTATTATTTTAATCCTAAAGCTACACCTCCTCCAGTTTCTTCTAACCTAGAATATATCACCCTCTGCCCCCACCACCCCATCACCTCTCAGTCAATTAAACTAGAGCCCCAGGAATCAATTTAGAACTACATTTTATTTCAGCAGGTATTATATTCATATGGTACAAAACCCAAAACAATATAAATAGGCATAGAATAGGAAATCAATTTTGCTCCTGTCTGTATCTCTCTTCCCATTATTTTTAGTAACTACTTTTCTTAGTTTCCTAGTGTGTTAGTCAGCTTTCATTACTGTACCAAGTACCTGTGGTAGTCATGCTATAAGAAAAAAAAGTTTATTTTTGTTGGGAGTCGCCCTGGCTCCAAAGACTAACTTCCCCATCCCCCAGAGAAGAGCTGTCCAATAGTGAGCCCTGCTGGCTCACATGATCTTTACCTACCAATAAGACTAGCCCTGCTGGTTCACATGATCCTTACCCACCAATCAGAAAGCACCCCATGCCAACTTTCAAACCGTTTAACCATTAAACTGTCATAACTGTCAAACCACTCCCGCTCTACAAATATGCAGAGCTGTTCCTCAATAATCGGGCATTTTCTCCAACATTGAGCCTTGTTCATTCTTTCAATTTTGAGTCACAATTTTGGAGTGTGTGGTGTAGCAAGTTGTTCACCTCATGGCATTTGGGAAGTAAAGAGAAGAGGAAGTGGCTGGGGTCCCTTCAAGAGCACACCCCCAGACACTGAAAGACTTCTTACCTCTTTTTTGGGGTACTGGGGATTGAATCTGGGGCATTTAACCATGGAGCCACATTTCCAGCCCTGTTTTGTATTTTATTTAGAGAAAGGGTTTCACTGAATTGCTTAGGGGCTTGCTAAATTGCTGAGGCTGTCTTTGAACATGTGATCCTCCTGCCTCAGCCTCTTGAGTTGCTGGGATTACAGGCACGAGCCACTGCACCCTACAACCTCTCACCTCTTAAAAGTTCTACAACTTCTCAATAATGCCAAGCAGTGGGCATTATTAATATCTGAGCTTTTGGGGGACACTACGTATCAAAGAATAGTCCTAGGGTGACATAAATAGGATTACCTTATATATATTTGTCTAAGAAAAGAAAATATTTTTTTTTTCTTTTTTAGTACTGGGGATTGAACCCAGAAACCCTTTAATATTAAACTACATTCCTAGCTCTTTTTATTATTTTAATTTAGGGTCTTGCTAAATTATTGAGGTAGGCCTTGAATTTGTGATCCTCTCACTATAGCCTCTTGAGTCACTGGGATTACAGGCATGTTGAAAACATTGTTGTTTTAATCTTTTATTATTTCTACAGATGTTCATATTACAGTACTGATACATGTTTTATATGCATTTTTGGTCCCTTGCTTTTGTTTCTTTATATCTTACAGATCTTGGTGCTTCCTTTTTATAGCTATATATTGTGCTGCATTATGTGGATATATCCTAGTTGATTTATCCAGTCCCTTATTGATGGATACATTTGTTGCCACTGTTTCACACTATCAATGATACTGCAGTGAATAAACCTGTGCATAAATGTGTATGTGAATCTACAGAATAATTTCCCAGGATATCCTCAAAGAGTAAATACTTTTGTAATTATCTAAACAGGCCTTTCCTCCCACAGTTTTATCAAGAGACTGTGTTAAACTTTTTTTCTTTTTTTAAATTGGATAAGTAAGAAATTGTATCTTAGTAGTGTTTTAATTTGCACTGCTCATATCACCAGCAAAAGTGAGCTTATATTTCATATATTTTTCTTTTTTTAAAAATATTTATTTATTTATTTTTTAGTTCTTGGCGGACACAACATCTCTGTTTGCATGTGGTGCTGAGGATCGAACCCCGGCCGCACGCATGCCAGGCGAGCGCGCTACTGCTTGAGCCACATCCCCAGCCCCTCATATATTTTTCTTAAACATCTTTTTTTTTCAGTTGTTGATAGACCTTTATTTTATTTATTTATATGTGGTGCTGAAAAACGAACCCAGTGCCTCACACGTGCCAGGCAAGTGTTCTATCACTGAGCCCCAGCCCCAGCTATATTTCATATTTTTAGCAGCCATTTGCATTATTTTCTGTGAGCTCATTTCCCTCCATGGTTGGTGATCTTTTTATTTGTGAAATCTAGGCACTCTTCACCTATTCGTGAAATTAACTTATTTTCCCCCTGTAATGTATTTTCTTCATGATTTGTCTTTTGATTTTCTAGGCAAAAGTTTTTGACATCGATACAGTAAAATGTACCCATCTTCCATGTCTCCTGGATCATAATTTGAACTTTCTCCTTTCTTTTATTTTTTGACACTGTTATAAAAGATTTCATGTTTCATATTATAATCTTTGATTCATTTGGAATTTGCCTCCTGTCCCCTTCACACTTCCACATGTGGTTAAGGTATGGATGCAGTATTTTATCTTTCCTGATGACAAATTGGTTCCATTCTTACAAGATGTGGCCTATCATTCAATAAATAACTCCATTCTTTCTTCTTCTTCCTCCTCTTCCCCCTCCCTGGGGAGTTATAGTTTTTATTTTTGGAATAGAGTCCAGCTAAGTTCCTTAGGGCCTCGCTAAATTGCTGAGGCTTGTGATCCTCCTGCCTCAGCCTCCCTAGTTGCTGGAATTACCGCCGCGTGCCACCGCCTCGGCTAACTCCACCCTTTTGATCAACCTCCAATCTCCAATCAATCTTCCAATTTTACCTCCCAAATAGGTTTCACCTCTAAACCCTTCTGGCAATCTCTAGTCTCACGACTGCCCCAGTTTTGTCTCACCTTTTCACTCCTGGATTACATTACTCAAACTGTCTGGTCTGATCAGTCAGTTTATTTCCCCTATTCCTCTCTCTTATTCAGTTCTCCTGGAGGGTTTCTCTGCAGCCTCCTTCTAAAATCTGCCCTTTTCCGCCTTTAAGCTTTTCGGCAGCTTTCCATACGCTGAGTGATATGCCAGTGTGGTCGGTGATTCCCGCGGCTCTGGGGTGTGGAAATGCCATCAGTCCCTTTGCATGCACTCTCTGGGCTCGATATGCGTCCTCTTGTGGAAACCTTTTTTGATCCACCTTCCCAAACTGAGCGCAGGTGCCGGTTCCTCCAGGGAGCCTTCCCCGAGCAATCCTACCCCGCCCCCCACCTCCAGCACCGCAGGGTCCACGCAACTCTGTAAGAACCCAGGCTGTCCAGCACTCCCTCCCTCGGGCTTTGCCCTTACGCCTCGCACAAAGCCCTGGCGGCACAGAACGGACACGTGTCCATCGACCAACTCTAAAGCCCCTGGAGAGAGGCGCTGTGTCCAGTGGTGCGTCTGGCGATGCACCGAGTCCTCTTCCCAGGGAGAGGAAGCAGGTGCAATGGAACCTGTTCTTCGTCAGCCCGGGAGGAGCAGCCTCTGGCGGTCCCGCCACGCAACTATCGAGACGCACCTCCGAGACCTCCGGGAGTCCTAGAGGGGAAACGGAAGGGGCCCTTTCCGGGCGCACCTGTCTGACAGCGTTCTTCACTCACTTCCGGTCCGCCGAGGGCACAAGCGAACCTGGTGCTGGTGCCGGGCGGGTGAACTGGAACAGGGCCGGGCCGGGCCCGTGGCGGGCAGCGGGCGGCGGGAAAGGCTGTGGATGTGCGGCGGGGCCGGACTGCGGCGCAGAGGCCCCGCGGGTCGGGATCCGCATGTCCGCGCAGCGGCCGACTCAGGTAGGAGCCAGGCTGATCCCGCCGGGCCAGGCTTGGCCTAATGCAGGTGGTCCGGGAGCCCGAGGAGATCTCGAACCGAGGCCGAACTCTTGGAAAAGCGAAAGTAATTAGGATAGGACGTAGTACAGCCATCTAAAGAACAGCTACGGAGCGCGTTCTGTTTGTCCAGTGCAGAAATGAAAGATGAATGAGGCCCTCTCCATGCTTGCCTGCAGGGGATCAGGTAGACAGACGCTGGTAAACGGTTGCATCTGCAGAGCGGTAGATACCCTAATGGAGTGAACCCATGCAACAGCTAGAAAGTCATGAAAGAGAAATTCGATGCAGCAGAGGAAATACGTACTGTAGCCTGGAAAGGTAAAATCGGTTTAAAGGTGGTAGTTAAATGCACAACCCCCAACAGAATATTTACCAGAGGCTCCAGGGGCCGCCTGCTAGTTACTTATTCTCTGCTCCAGTTGGGGTGATCTGTCCTAGCAAACCCATATCCTTCCCTGCTTCTTTGGATTTGAGATCTGTCTCCTTAGCCTAAGGCCTCCCGACTTGCCTCCCACGGAGGTTAGTAGGACTCATTCTCCAGTCTACTACAAGCCTCTTTCTCAGTAGTACTTGGACTTACATTAATCTCTCCTTTTTTAACTCCCCATGTTTTTCATCTATACCAAGTATTTGGGGAGGCAGACCTTGGCATATATTTTTCTCTGTTTTCTTCTTTAGCCAAACACATCATCACATCCAAGCCACTAGCAAAGTTGTTAATTTTGCCTCAAAATGTTTTGATTTTTGTCTGCTTTGTTACCACCCTAACCTAAAGATCTGTCGTCTTTTGCTTGAACCATCTGAAATACTGCTTCCCTTTTTGTATCCTCTATTCTCTGTTGACACACAGTATGACTTTTTAAAAATACATAGTTCCCCACTACACTAAGAAATAAGCGTAAAGCCCATAATTCTTATGGTGGCGCAGGCCCTGGGTAATCTGATTTCTGTCTGGCTCTGGGAGCTTTTCTCATGCAGCTCTGCCCCTTACTCTGCTGAAGCCACACTGGACTTTGGCTTGCTCTTGAAAATGCAGAATAATTTCTAGCTGGGAATGCTCTTTGAATGACTGGCTCACTCTCTATCCTGTAGGTCTCAATTAAGTATCATGTCTTAAGAAAAACCGTCTTCCAGCAAGTTACATAACTGGAAGTAGTTTTTTTCTGCTGTTCCCTGCATTTTTCAAGAGTCAGTGTACTTAGAGTCTGTGCTTGTACAGCATTCTGACATTCTCAGCTGAACAGCGCTGGATGAGTATAAAATTTTATAACTAGTGGAATCCATGCAAACAACATTGTAATAAATGGTCTTGCTGCTGATACTGCAACAAACAAAACAAACAACAAAAAAACCTCTTCAACCTCTTCAAGTCCATTGTCGCCACTAACAGAGCACCTTATTTATTCCATTTCTAGAACTTGTCCTTACTTGTAATTTTATGTATTTTCTTCATTTATTATTTTTTGTCTGCTGTGTTAGTACGAGTTTCAAGAAGACAAGTTCCTTGTCTTTTTCTTGTTTCTGCATGCCTGGGAAAGTGTGTATACTCTCTCTCTCTCTCTCTCTCTCACACACACACACACACACACACACACACACGTAGTCATGCATTGCTTAATCATGGAGACACATCCTGATAAATGCATTGTTGTGTTGACAACATTGAATATGATGTCATAAACTTGGACATGACCTTGTGATACAATCAAGAGATGTGGGAAACACAAGATATATGAGATTGCTGTTGGTGCAATACAGCATACTGTTCTACAGTAAATTTTTGTATTTTAATAGTAGAAGGAGGGTACTCCGAACATAACAATGAAAAGTAAAGACTAGTAAATATGTGAGCTAATAACATAGTCATTTATTATTAGTAGAAGCAGGCTATGCTTTTTCACTAGTCAGTGAAAAAACTTCAGATCTATTATAATCTTAGGGGACCAATGTCATATAGACCACTGTTATGTGGTATGTGATTATGTGTGTGTGTTGAATGTATGTTTCCTTTAGTATTGAAAAAGTAGGCCCTCGTGACTAACATAATTATAGTCCAGTTTATATTATTCCCTGATTGTTTTATTTTGTCTCCAGTGAGGTCTTAAGCTACTTTGGGATGTAAGCTCTTATATATTTTCTATTTATTCTCTGTATCTAAGAGGTGCTTGGTAAATCATTTAGCTGACTTGACGTTCAAGGCATACTTTCAGCCTTTTGAAAATGCATCATTGCAGGTCATTACCATGTTCTTCTGCAGAATGTTCATTAATGTAGACACAAGTGGGATGGTCTGAGCTTTCATGTGTCTTGTGTTCTTAAAAAGGGTCTTTTATGCTGTCATTCTCAGTCTTCTGAGAGGGAATGTGAAGATGCTTAAAGAGCGTCCAGGGATGGCGGAAGATCCTCAGCAGCAAATGGGTGTTCCTGTGGTGAAACTGGAGAAAGAGTTGCCATGGGGCAGGGCAAGAGAAGACTCCAGTCCTGAGACTTTTCGCCTGAGGTTTCGGCAGTTCCGCTACCAGGAGGCAGCGGGTCCCCAAGAAGCCCTCAGGGAGCTCCAAGAGCTCTGTCGCGGGTGGCTGAGGCCTGAGCTGCACACCAAGGAGCAGATCCTGGAGCTTCTGGTGCTGGAGCAGTTCCTGACCATCCTGCCTCGGGAGTTCTATACCTGGATCCGGGATCATGGCCTGGAGAGTGGCAAGGCTTTGGTGACCATGGTGGAGGACTTGACAGAGAATGCGCTGGAGGCCAAGGCGGTGGGTGAGAAGAGGGTATCCGGGTCTTTTGCTGTTGCCATGGGAAGGGGTTCTAAAGAATTGGGAGGTTTGAGGAAGCAGTGGAGTGGATGAGGTGTAGAACCTCCCCTCTGCTCGCAGACTGCTGAGGAACTTTTTGGAGAGTGGTGGGTTTTTCAGCTGGAAGAGCTGTTCCCAGGGAAGATGCTGGTGCTCAGATGGGCCTGATGCTCCTCTTCAGGCCTCAGGGCAGAGGCCTGGCCCTGATTCCTTTGTGAGCCTCAGGCCTTAAGAAAGCAGTTGTGATTGTTTTTAGGTCCCCAGCCCTGCCTTGGGGGAGATGCCTGTGGGTACAGGGAATCCACTGGTTGCCGATATCTATACTATTTCCATGTTGGCCACATCAGCTCTTGAGGCTCCTATGTGATTTTGTGGTGCCGTTCTGATGATATCAGCTGACTGCACCATAAATGTTGCCTGGGACTCTGGCCATGCTGCTCTCACTGTGTGGTATAGTCACCTGATTGATGGCTGGGAAAAGAGGGCAAGGGGCAATCATTCTGTAACTCAGCTTTCCTCCCACACAGGAGCTTAAAAGAGGACCAGGAAGGTCTTTGTTTTTGTGAGTGCATCTCAGTGTGAGTCCTCCTGGTTGTCCTTGCTCTTTGTAGAACTGCTGTTTTCATTAGCTAATTTATTACAGTGTCTGGGCTTTGCAATTAAAAAATTTTTGCTTTTACAACTGGGAAGTTTATTTTCTAATAGTGAGTGTGTTGTGCTTAGGTTCTCAGCAGGACAGCATTTGGGCTCTTGGAGATAGAATTCATGGGAAATTTGATCAGTGTCAAGGCAGTTAACAAGTTAAGCTTGTCAAATAGCATGGGCAGAGACAAGTTGCTCAGGGCCTGATAAAGGGAGTGTCACTTCCTTTCCACCTCCTGTCTGATGTTGGAGGAGGAGCTCAGCTGGCTTTTCCTTTGTCTCTCTTGAAGCCACAGTGGTTCTCCTTTTAGGTTTTAATTCAACTCCCATCATATGACTAAGCCTCATTTTAATTGGTGTTGGGAATTTTTCTTAGGTTCCATGCCACATGCAGGGAGAACAGCAGAAGACAGCCCTTGGCAGAGGTGCTTGGGAGCCAGGCGTCCACCTGGAGCCAGTGGAGGTCAAGCCTGAGTGGGGGATTCCCCACAGGGAAGGAGTTCAAGTCCTAGACCAAAGAACGGAAGAACAGCTGAGTCAGGACCCTGGAGATGGGACGCAGGCCTTCCAAGAGCAGGGTAAGATGCAGATAGCGAAGATGGAAGGGCACAGGGAACTGCTCTGTACCAACTGTCACCACCCTGTCCTTCAAAAACCCAGCAGTAGTATGTGCAAGGTGTAATTCTGAATGTTCCCGGTTATTTCCTTGACCTCAGTAGGAAACTGAGATGAAATCGTGTTCTCTGCCTTGACCCTGGTTTCTGGAAGGCATGTCTAGAATCATGTTCTTTTATTGTTTCTACTTCCTCATATGCCTTCTAGAAACTACCAGGAACTGTGCAATGGATGTGGGAATATTTATTAAGTGGGAAGACAAACCGTACCCCTCAAAGTAATAAGTGACTTTTTTTGTTACTGAATCTCAAAGAATTTTTTCCTGAGGGTGGCCAGGGAGCATGACAGAGTTGGGACAGTCTTCACTGCTGAAGACAGGGCAGGGGACACTCAGATACCCTTGTGTGGGTCATTGTGGCACCAAAGCACTTTTCTCTGGAGTTTGCAGGTTTCTGAAGTTGTGTGTCTTGGATGGGGGACATCTTTGAATGGGATGATTGTCAACAATGTTGATCTTTCTCCTGCATTTTGTCTCTACTCAGCACTCCCTCTTCTTCAGATGGGTCCAAGCCTCCCTCCAATGAACACCAGAGACCAAGAGATGGCAGCTGGGTTTCTTTCAGCAGGAGCACAGGTGAGCCATGACTCTGCCCTTTTGGAGATCCTGATGCTGCTTTGACTAATGTACACTTTCCCCAAAGTTTCACTATGCAAAGTGCCATCCAGAGAGTGGAGTCGCTTGGCCTTTCTACCTCTGGTAATACAGCTGTGTCGTTTTCTCCGTTCTGCCACCATCCCCAGTTGTTAATTTGCACTGACTCTTATACCTGGACCTTAAGCCACTGATTGATGTGTTGGTATTTCTCTTACCATGAGGAGGAAGACATTGAGAGAATCCCTGTAGGTGTGTCTCTGCTGTAGTGGTTACCCCAGAAATAGATGTCCTTTGTGGGTGCTTCTGCTGCTGCTGCTCTGGAGATGTCCCAGGGATGGCATCTGGCTCAGGCTGGGGCTCCTGGAGCCCTGAGCAGTGTCTCTTGGTCTATACTTGCCATCCCAGGAGTGGAGGCCCTGTTAATACTTGCAAACCTGCTGCACATGAGGGTAATGAGATCACAGATGGGAGGCTCTCGCCCCAGTTGGAATCCCTTCCACAGGGTGCTAAGTGTGACCAGGGATGTGGGGTTTCCCATGGGACACTTTTCTTGAAGGGCATGAGTCTTAAGGACTTTCTTGAAGAAAATTTGACAGAACGAAAAAGAAGCAAGTCATATCTTACCTATGGTTAAAGCCATATTTGGGCATCCAGTCTGGGCTATTTCCCGTTCCTGATTTCCAGGGAGGTTTGCAGGGTCGAGGAGCGACAGTGTTTTTTCCAGTTGGTTAGACCCACCCCTTCTGCCATAGAGTTTCTTCCTGGTGTAGTGAATGAGAAAATGAGGACCCAATTCTTTCAATGTGGTGTCATTCTTAAGATGGGGCTTGAGAGAGTGTGGGGCAACTCCCAGGCTCTGTGATGCCTGATGAATGAGTGCAGGTGACCAAGTGGCATGGCAGCTGGAGTTGTGGGGACAAGCTGAGCTGCTGAAGCAGAGACTCAAGTCAATCACTCTTTCACTGAATTGTCAGGAGGTGGTTGGTTCATTTCCCAGGGCACCGAGAGGCTGGTTTCCTTCTGTTGTCTTGCTCTGCTCAGCCCTGTGCTGTTCCCTCTGATCACTGTGGCCATTAGATGATTCTTCTTTAGGGACTGTCTCTTTATTTATAGCAATCTGTTGTTTCAGGGATTGGGGACCTTTAAAGACATGGCCCTGCCTTTCCCTGAGGAGGAGTGGAGGCATGTGACCCCAGCCCAGATCGACTGCTTTGGGGAATATGTGGAACCACAGGACTGTGGGGTCTCTTCAGGTAAGGCTCTGTCTCCACCCCAAAGGTGAGAAGCTGAGGGGTTTTGAAAGCTCCAGGTCAGGAATCTTGCCCTAACCTGGTGCTGCTGACAAAGGAAGTGGATTTCATGGCAGGTGAGGAGGGAACATGGGCCAGCTGTAGGGAGCATTCCTGTGTCAAGAGGAGGCAGACAATGGAGCAGGAAAACATGAGGCAGCTATTCTGGCTCCAATGAGACAGGTCAGTCATTAGCATCCCTAGACATCTGTGTGTGTCCCTAGCTGCCTTCAGAGCAAGAGGGAAAACGGCCAAAAAGGAACACCTGGTCTTATTCATTCAGCAAGTGTTTATTGAGCACTCCCTGAGTGCAGGCCTCACACAGTAGCTTTGTGTTGGGGCAGGAAGTGGCCTGGACTAATATACAGGAAAGAGTTGGAGCATTCTGTGGGTGTGTGTGTGAGTGCACGCGTGCACACGTGCAGTAAGGATTTAGAAATGGGACAGGTAAGTGTGGGCTTGTGTCACAGAGGAAGCAGACTCTCAATGGGCCTGCCTCAGGTGGTGGCTGGGTTTGACCTGTGGTTGCACTGATAGGAGCCCATAGGGGAGGAGGAAGTAGGAGTGAGACCAGGGCTGGCAGTGCAGGGTGAGGGCCTGTGGGGAAGCCAGCAGAGTGTACTACAGGGCATGGGGACCAGGGACCAAGGAGCGTAGGAAGAATCTCTGTGGGTTGAATGAGAACAGTGAGGAGAAGAAGAAAACGTGGCTGGGAACAAGCCTCCCCTGCTCCCTGCTAACTCTTTTCTTTTTCCTTTCAAAACTTTATATGTTATGTGTTGACCCTTCATCTGTACAGATCCCATCTGACCTTTCTCACTTTGAAATACATTGAAGAATGAGCAAGAGGGTCATGTGCTTCCTTCAGGATGCAAGAGGCTCCATCCTGCCTCCCTCCCTTCCTAACCATGACCATCTCATTTGACCTCTTCAAGTCTCAGTTTCTTCAGTCATGAAATGACTCACATGACTCATGGCATTGTGAGGACAAAATGTGTGGCAAACATGGTGCTAGCACAAATATATATATATATTTTTTGTAGTGCTGGGGGTCGACCCAGGGCCTTGTGCATGAAAGGCAAGCACTCTACCAACTGAGCTATATCCTCAGCCCACATATTTTTATTAGTTGTGCAAATATTGTTTTTTGGGAGGGGGTTTTGCCCAACTTTGATTTTTTTTTTTTCCACAATTTTTATTCATGCATTATAGTTGTACATAACGATGGGTTTGTTGTTCCGTGTTTGTACATGCACACATAGAACAATGTAGTTTGGCCAGGATCACTCCCTGGCACTTCCCTCCCTCCCCACCTTCCACCCCTGGGTCCCTTTCCTCCACTGATCTCCCTTGGATTTTCATGAAAGATCCCCCGCCTTTTCTTTTCATTTTTTCTCTCTAGCTTCCAAATAGGAGAGAAAACATTTGACTCTAGACCTGAATTTGACTTATTTTGCCTAACATAATGGTCTCTAGTTCCATCCATTTTCCTGCAAATGACATAATTTCATTTTTCTTTATGGCTGAATAAAAATCCCTGTGCATGTATACTACATTTTCTTTATCCATTCATCTGTTGATGGACATCTGGTTCCATAGTTTGGCTGTTGTGAATTGTGCTGTTATAAACATGGGTATGCCTTATCACTATAGTGTGATCACTTTAATTCTTTAGGGTAAATACTGAGGAGTGGTACAGCTGGGTCACATACTGTTTCCATTACTAGTCTTTTGAGGAACCTTCATATTGATTTTAATAGTGGTTGTGTTATAATCCCACCAACAGTGTAAAAGTTGTTTTTCTTTTTCTCCACATTCTCTCCAGCATTTATTTTTATATTCTTGATGACTGCCATTCTGATTGGTGTGAGATGAAATCTCAGTGCACATTTGATTTACATTTCCCTAATTACAAATGATGTTGAACATTTTTGCAAATATTTGTTGGTCGTACTTGTACAAATATTATTAACTGATTCTTTCATAAGTCAGTTAGCATTCATTCATTTATTTACCCACAGAGATTTATTTGTCACTTACTATATGGCCAGTGCTTTACCATTCACTATGAAGAGTTAAAATGCTTTCCCTCTAGGGTCTTACAGTTCTGGTGAAGAGGCCAGGTGCATGTGATAATGGTCATTTTGAAATAGGGTGGAGCACCAGGTAGGGAGAATTGGGGACCTGTGTCCAGGGCAAGGTGATGTGGGTGGCAAAAGATGCTGGTGTGTTTTACATAGAAGTTCGTAATTGCCACAGGGTAAAAGATGTGCAAACTTTGGAGATAAATGCACAAGGCAGGGGCTTCTGTGATGTGCCCTGGATAGAAGTCCCAGCTTCCCAGAGCCCTAATCCCCATTAGCTGTGTGCCTCTGCAGTGATGCCTTCCCATCCTCAAGAGTGCTTACCCCCTCCTGGCTGTTTCTGACTTTTAGAGACCCTGGTGCGTGTTTGTCCTCTCACCAGCCCCGTGTCTCCAAACAGCCTGGATACATATCCCTAAGTGTTTCTGCTAGGTGGCATGGTGTGCCTCTGTTTGGGTACATCACAGGAGCCCCTGCTTTGTGCAGTTATCTCTGTTTTCCAAGTGTACCATCTGCTATGAATGCCAGCCTTCAGGTCTACCTGGGATTCAATCCCATGTCATCCCAGAACTTGCAAAGATAGCAGTGTGGGACAGGACCAAGCTGCTTAATTTATAAGAAGGAGATGAGTTTGGGGAGACCGCTGGGCCAGGCGGGTTCTCAGCTCCCTTTCAGGCCTTGGTCTGTTGTCATTAGAGAGTGACTAACTGCCAGCCTTATGGTCTGGATCATAAATGCAGTTATGGGAACAAACAGATGGAGATTGGGCTGGTACAGGAATTTGGAAGCTGATTTGGAATAATGGATGCAGAGAGTAGCATGTACACACACTGACTCCAGGAGACTTGTTTGCAAGATGGTTAAGATCCTGGGGTGAAAGATGAGTGTTCAGAAGAGAAAGAAAGAGGAGTTGGGTAAGTAGGGTGAGACTATCTGAGGGCTGTGGGCTCTGGTAGAAGTTTGCAGTGTTGAGTAATGTGATGAAAGTGTTATTGCAATTGACCTCTAGGGTGAAGGAGATACAGGTATAGGGCCAGAGCAGGAACCAGACTTGGCAGTGGTGAAGAAGGTGGTTTATCAAGGCGTGTTTCCAAGGATTGGTCACCGATTAGCTAGAGAAGAGGAGAGAGTAGAGTCAAGGAGGAGGCTGAGATCCTGGCTATTGGACTGGGAAACTGGTGCTACTGTGAGAAAGGAAGGGAAGTGCTTTCCTAAGGGGGAGAAGAATGGAGTGTTCCATCTTGAGTTTGAGATCCAGGGGGAGATTCTCTGGAAGTAGCTGGAAATCAGTGCCTGGTCTAAGGGCTAAAATCATACCACCTACCATTGCGTATCTGCTGTGTATACAGGGACCTTTATCAGTGTACTATCCATTTTGAAGATGAAGAAAGTAAGGCTCAGAGAGATTAATTGATTTTTCCATAATCCCATAGCTATTAAGTAGCCAGTGCCACATTCAAAACCAGTTCTCTGACTCCATTCTCTTTGTACTAATGCGTCTTTGTCTTAGTGTTTTCATTTCTGCCTAGATATTTTATTTATTTCCCTCCAGCTTTATATTTAAACATTTGCTGTAAAAACTTTCAAACCTACAAAAAAAGCCCACAAAAATCATTGAGACTAGTGTACCGTTATAGTGAACACACTTATACCTTTGTCTTTTTCAATAATTGTTAACATTTGCCATATTTATCCATAAAATGTATTTTCAGAATAATTTTGAAAATGGAGCCATCTTGATCTTTCACTCCTAAATACTTCAACATGCGCCTCCTAACAAGGACATGTGACCTTCATGACCTCATGGTGTGGAGCTGTAATTAGTTTGTTTTTTCATGGAGAGGATCCACACAGGAGAAAAGGTTCATTTGGGTAGTTTCCAGTTTTGAAGTGTTAAGAGTAGGAAAACTGAAACTAAGTACCAGGTATGAACTTTAACTAGCTCCTGGGGAAATCTGCACATGAACTCGATACTATGTACATGGAACTTATATTTATTTTCTTAGGTGGAGTTATGATCCTAAGTATATGTAGTCCTGGTAGCTGTACCAGCACAGAGTTGGTTTGTAGCTGGAGCTTCAGTTACAGATTGGGCTCCTTCCTTCAGCCAGCATCTCCCTGCTCAGCTCCCTGCCAGGTTCCTAGGGGGCCCAGATTAATGATATTTGGTTAGGTAGAGGGAGCAGGGTATGTAGGGCCAGGTTATTGGAGTGGGTTTGTAATTATTTGGGGAAGGCAGAACACGTAGGCGAATGTAAATTAGCATTTGCAGCAAGATCACATGTAAATAAGTGCTAATTGAGGACATCAGTGCAGAAGAGGCTGGGGGACGAGAACAACCAGGGTGTATTTCTCAGAATCACTGAGATAGATTTTGAAGAAAAGTCTGAAAATGAGAGGGGATTAAAATTTGGCATATATTCTGTATGAGGGTAGGGAGTGGGAAGAAGTAAAGGAAGTTCTGAGTTTAGGATCCACAGAAGTGAAAGGTGTTGAAGTTGTTAGTCACAGGGAAAAGAGAAACTGCTCTCAGTGGGCCATCCTTGGAAGCAAAGCTCTAACACATAAATTGCCTTTGGTAGCTACCATGGAATCAGTCTTGGTCTCTTTTCTCCTGTAGGCATTGGGAGCAAGGAAAAGGAGTCAAAACCCCAGCAGGAAGACCTTAAAGGGGCATTTGCTGGGCTGTCATCTGAGAGGTTTGGGGAAGCTGCTGTCCCTGGACCTGGGCTGGGAGGAGCCTGTGAGCAGGAGCCTGGGGAATCCGGGAGTGGCCTGCCAGGACTTCCTGCTCCGCAGCACAGTGCCTCCTTGCCTGAGGATCTCAAAACCCAGAGCTCCTTCTGGAAGCCTTTCCAGTGCCCCGAGTGTGGGAAAGGCTTCAGTCGGAGCTCCAATCTCGTCAGACACCAGCGAACCCATGAAGAGGAGAAGTCCTATGGCTGCGTGGAGTGTGGGAAGGGCTTCACCTTGAGGGAGTACCTTATGAAACACCAGAGGACCCATCTGGGAAAGAGGCCCTATGTGTGCAATGAGTGCTGGAAGACCTTCAGCCAGAGACACCACCTGGAGGTCCACCAGCGGAGCCACACAGGGGAGAAGCCCTACAAGTGTGGGGACTGTTGGAAGAGCTTCAGCCGGAGGCAGCACCTGCAGGTGCACCGGAGGACGCACACTGGTGAGAAGCCCTACACCTGCGAGTGCGGCAAGAGTTTCAGCAGGAATGCCAACCTGGCTGTGCACCGGCGAGCCCACACTGGGGAGAAGCCCTATGGGTGCCAGGTGTGCGGGAAGCGGTTCAGCAAAGGGGAGCGGCTGGTCCGACACCAGAGGATCCACACGGGAGAGAAGCCCTACCACTGCCCCGCCTGCGGTCGGAGCTTCAACCAGAGGTCCATCCTCAACCGGCACCAGAAGACCCAGCATCGCCTGGAGCCCCCGGTGCAGTGAGGGCACCACCTGAGGAATCCCTGCCCCAGGGTATCCTTCATCTTTTTGATGGGCTTGGAGGACAAGCAGTGATGGCATGCAGGAAGGCTCTCGGGCCATTTCCTTTCCACTGACTCAAACCCAGGCGGAGGACAAGTCTGGCTTATTGAGAGCTCCCAGAGGGCACAGCCGCCTATGCATCCTATCTAAGTGGTGCCTATGGTTTTTCTGGTAACCTTTAAGGGAAACAGTATTCTGAACTTTAGTTCAGGCTGTGATTTTTCCCATCAGTTGGGTGTTTGGACACACCTCCAAGTCCAGTAGTAGGGGCAGAATTTTGTCAGTGGTTGGCAGCTTGAAGCTCATTATCCTGGGTCTCTATCCTGCCTGTGAGATCTAGCTCAGACTCACCCCACACTTTTCCATTTACAAATATTTATTAAACACCTACTATGCTCCTGGAACTGAGAATACCGTGGTGAATGACAGACACAGACGAGACCTTGTTATCACAGAGGATTCCAAAGTGTGTTGTGTTGCAAGGGCCATGTGAGGGCCTCCTGTCACGTTCTGCAAGCCTGCTCCCTGCTGGACCTCACCTCGGCCTCCACCCCGCTGGGAATTTCTCTTAGGCAGCCTCCTTTGTTTTGCTTCATTTGTAGCCTTTTTCTCTGACTGTAATATTCTTCCCTCATCTGTAAAATTTTCCCATCCCAGCATATTCCTTGCACTATAACAACAGCTATTAGGAAATTAATATTTTGCTATTGATCATGAATAAACATAAACTGTATTTTTAAAAAATGTCGCATTCTGCCAAAAGACTAGATTAAATGAACTAGTATTAATGCCCTATATCAATGGCACTTTATCTGACATATAAAAATGCTTTTCTATATGTTCTTTTTAAATTTTTTTTTATTGTTTTAGTTTTAGGTGGACACAGTATCTTTATTTAATTTTTATGTGGTGCTGAGGATTGAACCCAGTGCCTCATGCATGCTAGGTGAGCGCTCTACCACTGAGCCACAACCCCAGCCCTTTCTATATGTTCTTATCTGATTCATTTCATAAGTAATTAGGCCCTGCAATGTGCCTAGAACTCTTCTGGTACTCGAGATACATCAGTGAATGTGATAGGGGAAAATTTCTGACTCTGCAGATGGCGTGTTTTAGTGATGCACTTGATCTTCAGAATCTGTGGATACTCCCATGAGCCCTCTGGGCCTGGCAGGTGTTCTTGGTCCTGTTGGCATACTTCCCTGAGTTGCAGTCACCACCTACCTCTTAATAGTCTCTGTCCTTTTCATCTGAACCCTTATTTCCCGAGATACTTGGGGTCCTGGATACCAATTAGAGATATAAAGTGGTAGTGACCTATTTTTCATGAGTGCTGATTCAGGAAAACTGATGTTTGTAGGCATTTAGAACATTTCTTTAAGAATTAGAAGCTGCAGTATTTGCAACTGTGTTTACATTTTCTTATATTATTTTGCCATCAGAAAGGGTTTTCTTGCTGTGTAAGATTCTGGGCCCGGCATAATGAGGATGGATTGCACTGCAGCGACATTGTTACGCTGTGCCTTGAACACTGGCTGCTAAGTTTTTCTTTTGTCCACTGTGTGTCATTATAATTGCAAGATGTCATTTGTTTGATGGTGCCTTGTAATGTCATATTCTTTGAGATTTCTTTCTCCCATTCTGCACTGTAAATGAGATAAGTGGTAGTGATGAGCATTTGTATTACACAGTCCACTTGGAAACATGTGCTTTTATCACCTATTTCCTGGCAGGGAGCCACAAGTTTACTTTTGACTTAGCAAATAACCCTTTTGGTCCTCCTGGCTTATCTGTGGGGACTGTGAAGTTGTGCTAAACTAGGGTGAAGTGTTATTGAGTCATCCACACAGGGCTGCTGCAGAGGTCCATATGAAAAACCAGTCTCCCAGCCCCCCAATTCTTAGACAAGTTAGGCAAGACAGCCAGCGCCCCGCCAGCCAAACCCAGTTGGAGGCTTCCTGTCCTCAGGACTTGGGATAGACTCGCTTGAGTGTATCTTTTCCAAGAAATCTGTCTCTCAAAGCCAGGCAGGGACCATGGAGGCTGCTGCATTAGTGTCTGTATTTACTTGAATTAAGTTATTGATTGATTTTGATCATGCACTTAGCCGAACAGGCCTCTGGGTTTTCAGCCAGTTGGAATCTCTTGAGAGAAACTTCAGTAGGAGCTGAGCCTTGCCGTCCTGCCCATTTGTCCTCTTCCATGTCTGCTCTGAGGCCAAAGCATATGGACAATGTTTTCGAAAAGCTTCCATTAAAAGGGAGTTTTCCCCATGGAATTGTAGTAGCCTTGTTTTTTATACCCATTGAAATGTCAAGTATTTTGCTATTTTCTGTACATTTCTATTCTTTTGGAATTTTATTTCATACCTCTCTGTGTTTATTATTTACCTATCTGTAAATTTTCTGAAGTCTAGGACATGTAAAAGAAAGCTCAGGAGAAATCTTTCATTAGGAAGTTAATGATCTTGTATCTTGGGGCACAGTTGGGGTTCACCACTAATACAAAAAAGTGATATCTAAAATTTTGAACTGTTTAATATAAAAATCTGTAGCAGAATTGCCAACCCTCAGAATTTCCTTGATGGCTACCTTCTCTCTTTTCATGGGAACCATTTTATAATAGAAAATTTCAAACATGTGTAAATGAATCCTTGTGTAGTCATCATTTGACTTTTATTTTAAACTCATAGCCAATCTTGTTTTCTCTCTACCCACTGCTTCCTCCTTGTCTTCTTCCCTCACTGAAGTGTTTTTAAGCACATTCCAGATGTTTATAAATATTTTGGTGTGTGCCTCTGAAAAGTAAGAGCTCTTTAAAAAGATGAATAATTCTTTAATGTCAAAATACCCAATGATTTTTTAAAACACTAAAATTTTGAAATTACAATTTGTTGCTTTGTCTTCTAAATCTCATAACCATCTGTCCTTCATTTCCTTGAAATTTATCATTGAGAAAACTGTATTATTTATACTATAGACTTTTTTTTAACATTCTGAATTTTGTTATTTGCATATCCCTGACATTATTTAACTATTTCTCTGCCCTCTGTATTAACTGAGAACTCAGAAGTCTAGAGGTATAGCCAGATTTGTCTTTCCCATTTTGGCAAGAACACATTACAATGGTGGCACATATGGCTGTTTCTCTTTATATGATGTTAGGAGTCTAGATCATATATTTCATTAGTAATAATGATAAACAATTATAAAGTACTTAAAATTTATAAATAAATTATCATTTAATAGCTGGAATACTTCTGTAAGAAATTTCTGCTCATTTACCTGTTTTCACGTTAATGAACTGATAGATTTGCTTCATGTAAAGGTGATCCTTTTTTGTTGTTTTTGCAGAGCTGGGGATGGAAACCAGGGCCTCATTCCTAGGCAAGCACTCCACCACTAGTGTTGGTGAGGAGGTGGAGAGTTGGCACGCTCCCATTTGCTAAAATGGTACAGGCGATGTAGAAAACAAATTTGGTGCTACCTCAAAAAGTTAGACATAAGTAACCATATGACCTAGCAATTCCACTCCTAGTTATATACCTGCGAGAATTGAAAATCAAACAGATTCATGTACCCACATATTCATAGCAGTGCAATTCATAATAGCCAAAAGATGGAAGCAACCCAAATGTCCATCAGCAGATGAATGTACAGACAGATTGTGGCTTGTGGCACATGATGGAACATGATTCAGTCAAAGATTGAAATGAAGAACTGATACCTGCCACAACCTGGATGAACCTTAAAAATATGCTAAGTTAAAAAGCCAGTCATGTCCTGGGAATATAGACTACAGTGCAGTTGGTAGAGTGCTTGCCTTGCATGCACAAGACCCTAGGTTCAATTCCCAGCATCGCCTCCCCCCCCCCCCCCCAAAAGCCAGTCATGAAAAAAATCCACATAAGGAAGTGTCTAGAATGGATAAACCCATAGAGGGAGACACTTAATGGTTGTTATCAGTGCATGGAAGAGGGGAGAGTGAGGAGGAACAGCTTAATGGGTATAAGATTTTATGTTGGGGTGATGGGTATGTTTTGGAACCAGGCAGAAGGGGTGGTTGTATAACACTCTTTGAGTATAATACATGCCACTGACTTATTCATATTAAAATGATTCATTTTATATTATATGAATTTTACCTATGTACATTAAAAAAATCTCAGAAATATTAACATTATAAGACATGTTGCTATGGTGCTTATCCAAACCAGTGATGTATGCAGCCTCCAGCCTCCTACTTACTGATTTGAGGTCAAGTCTTAATCCCAGACACACAAAATCTATAGCCTGATTTGTAACCTAATTGCTTCCTTATTAGTTGTAATTAAAATTCAGGCCCTGCACCTTGCAACCAAGAATTGGTGCACATGCTCAATAATTCTTATGGTTTGATTGTGTTTTCCAAAGTTCATATGTTGGACTCCTAATCCCCAAAGCAGCAGAGTGAAAACATGGAACCTTTAAGAAGAATTTAGGCCATGAATGAATTAATGTATTATGGCAGGAATGGACCAGTTATTATGGGATTAGTTCCTGATGAATGGATGAGTTTGGATACCTTCCCTTCTTATGCATGTTTTCTTGTTCTTGTACTTTCTTCATGGAGTAGCAAGAGGACCCAACCCAGATTTGGGTCTCTAGACCTTGGACTTCCCAGGCAGTAAAAATAAATTTGTGTTCTTTTTATTTCCAGTCACAAGTATTCCAAGATAGCAGCACAAAATGAAGACAAGAGTGATTGCTTAGGTATCCAATCGGAAAATGGCACGGGAGGTCAGGGTTGGGCTGATCTTGGCTGGGCAGAGCCACAGGAAAAAAATTGCTCAGGTTGGCAGGCACCATGGTGATATATCTTCTTGGGGACTCTGTAAACTGCATGCAAAAGTGGCAGGTTGCTTTTTTTCTGGAGTGATGGTAATTATGAAAGAAGCCCTTGTCCCCAGATCTAGCTAACAGTCTGAATTACAGCTTATGAACTGAGTCACTCCTGAGTGAACGAACCTAAGGGCACTCTCTTCCTTCAGCCCGTGCTACCTTTGACATCAGGTTTGTTTAGGCAGTCCCAGGAAGTAGAAAAAAAAATATATATATTTTTTTCTAGAAATTTTCAAACTTTGCCCACCTTGGGCTTCGCAACCTGGATTTGAGGAATGGTGTTTGTGTCATGTAAAACAAAAAGCAAGGTAATTTAATTGATGATGTTTTGCTTTTAGAAAGGTTATATGTGCAGGATAAAACATTCAAATGGTGTAAGAGGATAATGCTTTATACTATTAAAAATTATGTTTTTCTGGAGGTGGTGGCACATGTCTGTAATCCCAGGAGCTCAGAAGCTGAGACAGGAGGATCACAAGTTCAAGGCCAGGGGCTGGGGATGTGGCTCAAGCGGTAGCACGCTCGCCTGGCATGCATGCGGCCCGGGTTCAATCCTCAGCACCACATACAAACAAAGATGTTGTGTCGGCCGAAAACTAAAAAAAAAATATTAAAATTTTCTCTCTCTCTCTCTCTAAAAAAAAAAAAAAAAAAAAAGTTCAAGGCCAGCCTCAGCAACTTAGGGAGGCCCTAAACAGTTCAGAGTGAAACTGTCTCAAATTAAAAAAATAAAAAGGATTGGGGATGTGGTCAGTGGTCAGGTGCCCCTGGTTCAATCTCCAGTATAAAAAAAAAAAAATAAAAGAATTAAGTTTTTGATAGATAATGTTTATTAGATTGTGGAATTCTATCCTATTGGTTTGAGTTTGTATACTATAAATAGTTGTGGAATATTATCAAGTTTTATTTCCCCTGAAACTATTGGGAATGTATTGACTGTTAATTTTTAACTGATGTCTATGTTTTTAATTGGTTAACTGCCTTTGAGTCAATAAACCCAACTTTGGCCAGAGTCCTTTATGGGGCACAAATGCATTCTAAATGGAGGAACATGCATGGGTGAAGATCTTCAGATGTACCTTGTTTGAATGGATTTCATTATTTCAGAATAAGGATCGCTATGGAGACAAGAATAGGTAGAGGAAATTTAAGGCCAGTGACTTAGTGAGTTCCTGAAAAGAATAAATGGCCTTTGGACTTAGTGATGATGTTGATTGAGTTGTTTATTTCCCACAGATGATGCACACAAAGGAGGTCCAAGTAGGAGTGTTCACAATTCTTTGCCACATTTTTAGGTGAAGAGGGCACCTGATTTTTCCAATTCCAGGTGATGCACAGGCAGCCCTTCTACTGGCTGCGGTCCTGGTCACACTTTCTTTCCAGCATATAAACACATGAGGTTGGTCACACTGAATCATAGCTTGGCCCAGGATGGAAGGCACAGTCCCACTAAGGGCAGCACATGCTCAGCTGAAGGAAAAACTCAGGAGAGAACCACTGAAGGTGTTGCTGAAAGCTTGGTCCTTTTCTGATGTTGAAGACAAGGTTTTGAGAAAAAGTTTTATTGCTTTGCTAGCAAAGGAGAAACACAGGGGACTCCTGTCCCAGAGTCTGATTCTCCCCATCAGGGGAAACAGAGGGTTTTTAAAGAGATGATTCAAAGGCTATATTCCAGGTATGCCCTGGGAGGTTGTAATTCACCTGTTAATTTTGAGCTAGCTATTTCTTAGATCTTCTGGCCTATCCCTGGAGACTGAATTACTTCATTTTTTTGTGGTGTGTGTTTACTTAAGGACAGATAGCCTAGGACGGGAAGAAGGGTAGTCTTGTTTCCCCTAAGATTAGGGATGGGGAGAGGGAGAAGAGAAAAAAAAATGTTTGTTTTTAAAAAAGTAACAGTGGCAGAGCAGCAAGGCCTATATTTAAAGCATGAAGTGGACCACTGTTAAAAAGGAAAGCACCACAGACCTGATTCAGAACTTGACCCCAGAAACCTGGGTACTCTTGGCTATCAGCCCAGTGCTTCTCTGGGAGTAACTCTCTAGGATCCTCCTCTGTAACCTTGGAGTGGGGTGTTAATTAGGCTCCTCCCCCCTTCATCAGTTTTGAAGGTCAAAAGAGAATTGAGGGAAAGTTGCTACAAACACAGAAGTTCCTATTGATCTCATGCAGATTCCTTGAGCTTCTCCCAACCGTCTCCCTACTCCTGTGACTAAGAGGGTTACTGACAAGATTTGTTCTTAGGGATGATCTGATTGGCTCTCAGATACACCTGGAGTAATGTAACAGAATTCAGCAGAAGCATATTATAAATTACTGATCACCCTGTGTAACAGGAACCTCATCCCCTCCCCAAACTTTGGGAATTCTGGTGGCAGCTGGGTTATTTGGGTTTTTGTCTTATTATCTTTATCTTCTCCATCTTCCTGGAAGAGATGTGTGGAAGGCTTGACCTTGGAGCCTGTGAGTGTTTCCTTTTCTCCCCCTCCCACCTTCCAGCTCGGTTTACAAAAGGCTCCATCCACTGTGTGTCCTAGACTTCATGTGGCGGGGGGGGGGGGGCAGACTCTCTCTACTCTTACCTTTTTTTCTGCAACTGTTTTTGGGAACTTACATGCATCCTAAAATTCAGTTTCTCCACTCTGCAAAAACGCAGAATTGTGCACCTCCAGATGATGACATTTTAGAGCACAGGGCACTTGGCAGACGTCCTGGGCAGGGATCCTAGACCCTGCTGGGTCTAGCTGAGGTGTCCCTGGGGATCCTTCAAACATATGACCTTTTGTGCAATTTTTTTTTCTTTTGACTTTATGACATTTTACAAGAATTAGTGGATTTGTATAGAATATTTAAACTATGCTACCTCAACAGCTTGCCTCTAGAGAAGAGGAAACAAGGTATTAATTTAACTCTCTGGAATGTTTTGTGGTTTCTTATTTGATGTTTGCATAATTTATCTATTTATTATCAACAGGAAAGTGGCTGACTGTTGGAAGGCCCGTTCTCTTTTAGCTAAAAGCACTCCTTGGGCATGTTGCACCATTTATATATATTGTACATTTCAGTGGTATCTTCCTCCCTTGCTGCAAAGGGAAACCCTGTGGGAGTAGCAGTCTACTGCATGTCAGTCACGTTGGAGTGGACAGGTTTGCAGGATCCAGGACCCACAGCTCTGGGGCTCAGAACAGGATGCATCAAAGATGAGTTGCAGGCAGGCCTGCCCTAGGGAGCACCAGCCCTAATGGGTTTTCATACAGAGGTAGTTGATGGACAGAGGCAGCAAATGAATGGCTTTGTGACTGACTCTCTTGATAAGTGTGAGCATGGCTGCCACTATGCTTACAGGCGAGCATCATCAGCTGGAGATCCAGATTCCCTGAGAAGAGGAATGGCCTCAACATTGGTTCCATCATTTATTCCTATGCATAGCATCACTCAAGGAACATATGGGAAATCAGCCTTCCCTAAAGTTCGAGTCATCCAAATTGTCTGACAACAGAGACTTGGATGTCTCTGAAGGTATTAAAACTTCTTTTAACCCAATGGAAGTCTTGAACCCAATTGTCATTCTATACAAATAAGAACACTGTGAGCATTTCTGGGAAGGCAGATTAAAGAAGGACCAGGCCGGGCGTGGTAGTGCACGCCTGTAATCCCAGTGGCTTGGGAGGCTGAGACAAGAGAATTGTGAGTTCAAAGCCAGCCTCAGCAACTGTGAAGCGCTAAGCAACTCAGTGAGACCCTGTCTCTAAATAAAATACAAAATAAGGCTGGGGATGTGGCTCAGTGATCAAGTACCTCTGAGTCAATCCCCACTACCAAAAAAAAAAGAAGTACCATATCTTAACACAGGTGTCTTAAAGGAAATGAAATACATAAAAGCCTCCTGACAAACTTATGTAAGATCAGTGTTACCACAGGTACTCCATGATCTGCATTGTTGAAAGTTGCAATTAAGCAAAATCTTATCATTGGAGCAGAAGAAAAACATTTCCCCTCTCCGACCTAGAGTGAGGATCTCTACTTCATGGAAGAGGTAATTTCTTAAACCAATGCCTGAATCTCCAAGGAATATTTACATTTGGGGACTCTTATCAAATATTTACTCTAGGATTGGGAGCACAAAAATGTTAGCTATTTTTAGCCAATTGTGAGTTTTGGAGATCTCAGTGAAGGTGGAGGAGGAGATGGTGAGGGAATGTGATTATTGCTTTTGGGGTTTTGTTGGTACTGCTTGCCTACATGTCATGGACTCTTCTGGTCTCTGAGTTTGTGACTGGTGAGTCCCAGATATATACGCTCACAATCTCTGTGACCTGGCTTTGTCTTTCACTTTCTAGGTTTGGTACTATGGACTTTAGAAGCCGGGAATTCCTGGGCCCAAACCACTGCTTCTTCTAGGAACTATTCTCTGTCTTACTGCAAGGTGGATGTTACTTGAGTGCCCTCCTTTGCTTCTCATGGTTGCAAAGATGGAGAAAATTCAAGAATGATGTTAAATTGTCCATTTAAAAGTCTCCTGTATTTTCTCTCCTTTCCTCTCTGACATCCCTGAATACGAGCTACCCTGTAACCACCACAGTGAGGGACAACACGGTTTCATTAGATTCCAGTCCATTTGTTCCTTCAGAGATGCATCCAGTACATTTGGAACAATCATGGATTTTTATTTTTTTTCCTGTTTCCAGAGTGTGTGAAAATTTGATGTAGGGTGCTAAAAAAATATGGACAAATGTGGGGACAAATATTCTGGAAACTTCCCTTGGGTCAACTTGTTATGGTGAGGCAACCTTCTACATGAGGTCAATGTCAGCCTAGAGTGTTAGGTCATAGCTCTCTGGAGTAAAGCCTCTGGAGTCTGATCCTACCAGTGGTCCCACATGTCACTAGCTGTTGAGGTCCACAGTCTGAATCGGTTTGAGAATATTACAGGAAATGACTTTTCTCCAGGCTTTGATGGCCCAAGGACTCCCAAGATCACCTTCTGTCCAGGATCTGGCTATTCCCCTGTTCTCTGTTTTACTTTCCTTAGGTTTCCCCTTAATTACATGATATACATGATTCAGGTCCTTCAATATATGCTTATAAATGCATGCTAGCATCTCCTTCCTACATTGATAAACTTTTAGTGAAACTTTTTTATGTCAATTTTGACTTTAATATATATATTTTAAAGATGGACTGGGAGATATAGGGAAGCAGACTGGGAAGTAATTTATGCTCAGCTTTTTCATAAATTTGTCTTTTCACTTCCTCTGCAAGTGTAGAGTTTTTTGTTTTGTTTATTGTTTATTTCAAACCAAGACTTTGTTTTTGTACCAGCGATTGAACCCAAGGATGTTTAACCCCTGAGCCACATCTCCAGCCCCTTTTAAAATATTTTATTTAGAGTCTTGCTGAGTTGCTTAGGGTCTCAGTAAGTTGCTGTGGCTGGCTTTAAACTTGCAATCCTCCTACCTCAGTCTCCTGAGCTGCTGGGATTACAGGTATGTGCCACCTGCACCTGGATCAAGCCAAGATTTTTAAATTGAAGTGATATGGCTATTTCCTTGTCCAACTCATTCTACCGACTTTGAAGAAGTGATGTGGGATCTTTTTAATCCACTGTGTTTCCCTGTGGGCTATGCACTTAATGTCTTTGTAGGGTAGTCTGAGCCATTGCAGCAGCTGTTTCCTTTGAGAACAGCTGGAGGTTTGCTAAGAGCAGTGCAAGAGGTAGAATTATGCTTTTATGGCAAAAGCAAGCAAGAGCAGTCTTTGCCTCTTCATACCCCTTCTGTGATCAGTGCAGAAACTTCAGGGCTGGTCACAAGGTTTATTGGGTTGGCATGGCATGTAACAGGGCCAAGAGGTGATGGCAAGAGCTCACTGCTGGATCTCCTGTGGCCCAACCCCAAGTGCCCCTTGCCATATACTCATGAGCACTGATGTTGATTTTGAAATAATTTAATTTTAATTTTTTTGCAGCTCTTGGATTTAACCCAGGGCCTTGTACTTGCTATGCAAGTGCTCT